GAGTGGCAGAGAAGTATGTTAGACTGGTACAGGACATCCTGATTTATGCTCAATAATCCTCTGGATTGTATAGCACAATAGTCCTCTGGACAGTCCTCTCTTAGCACCAACACAACTGGTTTGTTCCACTTTGGAGTAAGCTGTTGGGGGAAGAATCAGTTTTGTGTTGTGTGTTTCCTTGACTGATGAAGCCTTTTGGATGGAAGGTGAAACGTTTCAGCACAAAAAAAGAAACTGTCCAGATGACCTGACTGAAAATTGATGGATTGTATACCTGGATTATTGAACATGGACTTTGTAAGTCCTGTTAGATTTTTCTACCTGGATTATTGAGCATGAATCAGGATATTTTGAACCACTTAGGCCATGATCACCTCAAACAAGTCTATGCGGGAGAGGATGGACTACAGAAACCACCTGAGCACCATCAAACTGGTTGACCCACTGTGTAGGTGCTATTTATAGGACTGAGTTTGTTGTGGCTCCTCGGACTGATGAAGTCTTTTGGATAAAAGACGAAGCGTTCCAACAAAAATAAACCATTCAGAGGATCTGACTTAGCTTTATTAGACTTCTATAAGCCATGTCTGACTTAGCTTTATTAGACTTCTATAAGCCATGTACATGTATGAGGACAGCAGGACAATTGTGAGCTGTGCTTTAGGAGTGACAAGTAGCTTCAAGGTGGAGGTGAGATTCCATCAAGGATTGGCTTTGAGCCCCTTCTTGTTTGCTCTGGTGACGGACCAACTAACAGATGAGGTCAGGCAGGAATCCCTATAGATTATGATGTTTGCAGATGATAATGTGATCTGTGGTGAGAACCAGGAACAGGTGGAAGAGAACTTAGAGAAGTGCAGGTATGCACTGGAAAGAAGATAAATTAAAGTCTGCCATTGTTTGACAGAGTACATGAGTATGAATGAGAGGGAGACCAGTGGAACAGTGAGGCTACAAGGAGCAGAGGTCACAAAGGTACAGGACTTTATTTGGGGTCCACTGTCCAGGAAAATTGGGAATGTGGTAAAGATGTGGAAAAAGAGTCCAGACAGGATGGAATGCATGGAGAAAAGCCTCAAGAGTGATTTGTGGCAAAAGGGTGTCAGAAAATGTCAAAGGAAAAGTTTACAAGACAGTGGTGAGACCAGTTATGTTGTATGTTGTAAAAAACCTGGCCTTGATCCATCTTCTTTGTCAAACTTTAGGCCAATCTCAAAGTTACCCTTTATATCCAAATTTTTGGAAAAAATTGTTTACACGCAGCTGAAGGCATTTTTGGATGAATTTGAAATTTTGGAGGTCTTCCAGTCTGGTTTTAAAATGTACCACATCACTGAATCTGCTCTTTTAAGGGTTTTTAATGACATATTTTTAGCACTGGATTCTGGAAACTGTGTTTTACTTGTGCTTTTAGATTTAACAGCTGCTTTTGACACAGTTGACCATGACATTCTCATCTCCAGACTGGAGCAGTGGGTGGGCATCACTGGCTCATCTCTGCAGTAGTTTAGGTCCTACCTTTCTGATAGAAGTTTCAGTGTGATGATGGATAATTTTACCTCTGCTTCTGCTGCCCTCCCCTGGGGGGTACCCCAGGGCTCTATTCTTGGTCCTCTCCTGTTTTCTCTTTACCTTCTGCCACTGGGTTAAATTTTCAGAAAGCATGGTGTGCAGTTTCATTTATAAGCAGATGACTGTCAAGTCTATTTCCCTTTGAAACAAAATGGCTCCACTCAGTCTCTCCTGGACTGTCTTGATGACATTAGAGGATGGATGGCACTTAATTTCCTCCATTTTAATGGAAAGAAGACTGAGGTTATGGTCTTTAAATCCTCTGGCCCTAGCAGTTTCTCCACCTTGAATTTTTCCTCTTTGGCCCCATATGAAAAATTCATTGTGACAAATTTAGGAGTGAAAATGGACCCCTGCCTGAAACTTGACTGCCATGTCAACATGTGGTTAAGTCCTCTTTCTTTCAGCTGAGGCGCCTGTCAAAAATCAAGCCCCTCCTTTCTAGACACCACTTAGAGACAGTAATCCACGCTTTTATTACTTCACGCCTGGATTATTGTAACTCTCTGTTGATAGGAGTTAGCCAGGCCTCGCTCTCACGGTTACAGCTGGTACAAAATGCTGCTGCACGATTTTTGACTGGTACAGGCAGGCGTGAACATATCACTCCAGTTCTGATTCAATTTCGAATTCATTTTAAAGTTCTATTGTTTGTTTTTAAGTCTTTGAACTGTCTTAGTCCTTCTTATTTGTCTGAACTGCTTCACTTTTACATACCATCACGTGCTCTTAGTTCCTCTGACCAGATGCTTTTAGCAGTCCCGAAAACCGTTTATAAATCCAGAGGAGACAGAGCCTTTTCAGCTATGGCTCCTAAATTGTGGAATGAGCTGCCACTGGAGGTCAGGCAGACCCCGTCACGTTCTGTTTTTAAAACTTGTTTTAAAACACTTTTTTTTCCATTGGCTTTTAACCTAGAGTGAGTCAGCATCTGTGTCTTAATGTTGTATTCTTTTACTTATGATGTTCTGATTATTATTATTTTTTAATGTATATTTAGATGTTTTTATTGTTTTACTGTTTTTTGTTTGTTTTTAATTTTGTACAGCACTTCGGACGGCTGCTTGTTGTATTTTAAGTGCTTTAGAAATAAATTGGTATGGTATGGTATGTTCTAGAGATAGTGGCATTGACAAAAAGACAGGAGAAAGAACTGGAAGTGATATAAATAAATATGTTGAGGTTCTCCTTAGGAGTGACAAGGGTGGATAAGATTAGGAATGAGATCTTCAGAGGTACAGCACAGGTTGAACAACTGGGAGATAAAGTTAGAGAGACCAGACTGAGATGGTTTGGACATGTCCAGAGGAGGGACAGTGGGTATATTGGTAGAATGATGTTAGAAATGCACCTGCCAGGAAAAAGACAAAAAGGAAGGTCAAAGAGGAGATATATGGATGCAGTTAGAGAGGACATGGAGGTAGTTGGAGTGAGGACAGAGTGAGATGGAGGAGGATGACTTGCTGTGGAGACCCCTGAAGAGGGAAAAGCCGAAAGAAGAAACTGATTCAGATTATATTGTTTTTGAAGAACCTGGTAAACTAATGATATTTTGGCAGACTTATACTGAAACAGTGACATTAAAATAAAAAAATAGCAAATATTAAAATGACAACCTTTATAATCACATCAAGCTATGATGGAGAAAACAGGTCAGTGCAGATGTGCCATAAAGCACAGCTGAAGGAGGGTGCACACTGAATGGATGCTGCGACTCTCGTGGTTGCAGATCCTGTATCCCTGCCTGCTGCCTCAAGCTTCTGTGTCAAAGCTGCTTCCCCAGCCCCCACCTTCTCTCCATTTTCTGCCCAGCTCCTTCTCCCTGACTCTCTCCACTCTCCTTCTCTTCAGCCTGCTGCTGCCACAGTTGCTGCCTGCTTCATTTGCTTTCCATCTCATGTTTTTATGCCTTCCTCCTCCCTGCTCTCCTCTTCGCTCAGCTCTGGATTATAAAAATTTCAGTAGCTTTGCAGCAGTTTAGTCATGCATTGCCAAAAACAGACTTCAGCAGTTTTTAGTGTGTGTACTTCATTGTTCATCCACCTGTCTGTCCGTCCATCCGTCATATGCTGCCTGTTCTGGAGTTGGGTTGTGGGAGCAGCAGCTTGAGCAGGGAGGCCCAGACATTTCTTTCTCCATCCACCTCTTTCAGCTCTTCAAGGAGGATTCCAAGGTGCTCCCAGGCCAGCTGAGAGCTGTAGTCTCTTCAGGGTGTCTTGGCTCTTCCGTGGGGTCTTCTCCCAGTCGGACTTGCCTGGAAAACCTCCCTATGGGAGTGTCCAGGGGGCATCCTTGCCCGATGCCCGAACCACCTCCACTGTTTCTTTTCAATAAGAAACTCATTTTTGCTTGATGGAGTTAATTAATAGAAGTGTCTCATGATTTGGACGTTTTCCA